TGTCTATTTAGGACCTTTGCCCATTTTTTAATTGGATTGTCTTCCTTTGTTAAGTTGTATGAGTTTTTTATGTATTTTGGAAATTAACCCCTTATCAGATGTATCATTTGTGAATATGTTCTCCCATTCAGTGTGTTGTCTTTTCATTTTGTTGATGATTTTCTTTGCTATGTGATAATAGCCATCTTATTGTGTGTGAGATGGTATCTTATTGTGGCTTGGATTTGCATTTTCCTAATGACTAGTGATGTTGGGCATGTTTTCGTGTGCTTATTGGATATTGGTCTATTTTCTTTGGAGATGTATCTCTTCAAATCTTTGTCCATTTAAAATTTTTAATCTTCTGAATTTTAAATGCTCTTCATATATTCTGGATACCAGATGCTTATCAGTTGTGTGATTTGCAAATATTTTCTATTCTGTGGGTTCTTACCACTTCTGTGATAATGTCCTTTCATCCATAAAATTTTATAATTTAGATGAAGTTCAACTTATCTCTCTTTTCTTTTGTTGTTTGTGCTTTCTACATCATATCTGTGAATCCATTACCAAATCCAAGTCATATAAATTCTTTGGTTAAGAAGTCATGCCCCTGTTTTCTTGTAAGAATTTTATATGCACCCCTATGTTCATTGCAGCGTTCTTTACAATGACCAAGGTTTGGAAGCAGCTCAAGTGCCCATCAGTAGATAAGTGGATAAAAAAGCTGTGGTACATTTACACAATGGCCATAAAAAAGAAGGAAATCTTATTTTTTGCGACAGATGGATGGACCTGGAGATTATTATGCTAAGTGAAATAAGCCAGTCAGAGAAAGACAAACACCATATGATCTCACTTATATGTGGAATCTAATGAACAAAGTAAACAAACAAAATAGAAACAGAGGCATGAATACATGGAACAGACTGACAGCTGTCAGAGGGTGTGTGTGTGTGTGGGGGGGGAACTGGATGAAAGAAGGTGAAGGGATTAGCCAAAGAACATATTTGCATAACCCATAAACACAGACAAAAGTGTGCTGATGGCCAGAAGGAAGGGGGGAGGAGGGGAGCTGGAGGCTGGGTGCAGGTGGGCAAAGGAGGGGGGATGGGAATATCTGTAATAGTGTCAATAATAAAAATAAAGTTAAAAAATTATGGTAAATCCATAAATTGGGATTTTGTGAAGCCTTTAAAAAGACATTTAAAAATGAGAATAAAGAATGTGTTATCTGGAAAACTTGCCAAGCTGTATGGTTAAGTTAAAAACAGCCCTGGCTGATTTGGCTCAGTGGATGGAGTGTCGGCCTGCAGACTGAGGGGTCCGGGTTCGATTTCAGTCAAGGGCACATGCCTGGGGTTGTGGGCTCGATCTCCAGTGGGGGGTGTGCAGGAGGCAGCAGATCAATGATTCTCTCTCATCATTGATGTTTCTATCTCTTTCTCCCTTCCTCTCTGAAATCAATAAAAAAATAAAATAAATAAAAATAAACTAAGTATAAAAACTGGATACTTCATATAGTTCTTAAAAATTCCTAGTTAAATAATTCATTAAAACCTAAAATAAAACCAAAAAATCATATGTGTATTTTCCCTCCAAATTATACTTATTTTTCATTTTATGAGAACGTTGCAGAAACTCCAAGATTCTTGTCCTTAGATATGTACTTAGGCCAAGGAAGGGGGAGGTGGGGGAGAGTGAAGGCGGGCAAAGGGAGGGAGGGGAGGAAGACTCCTGCAATAATGTCAACATTAAAAAATTTTTTAAACCTTTATTGTTAAGAATATCACAGATGTCTCCCCATTGCCCTCCTCCACCAGGTTCCTGCTTTGTCCCAGGCCTTCATCACCCTATTGTCTCTGTCCATAGGTAATGCATATATGCATATAAATTCTTCGGTTAATCTCTTCCTGGACCACCTCCCCTCTTCCCTTTGAAATTCAATTAACAGAGAAGTCCTTTATATTTTCACATAGAAGAGAAGAAGTCTTGGCCTTGAGATGAAAGCTCATTTCCTAAAGAAATCACAATGGGGGCGGGGGTAAGAGATCAACCGAAGGACTTGTATGCATGCATATAAGCATAACCAATGGACACAAGATACAGGGGGGTAGGGGAGGCCAGGGGAAGGTCAAGGGGAGAAAAAAAAGGAGACATATGTAATACTCTTTGTAATACTTTAAGCAATAAAACAAAATTTAAAAAAAAGAAATCACAATGAATTAACCAACTTCTCAATTAAAAAAATATATCAAAACCGATTAATGTCACCCAGAGGTGAGTTCAGTTTTGTTCTTTGTCTTTGTACTCTCTTTGGGCACTTGAAATTATGAAAGAAATTCAGATCTACAGCCCTTTTTAAATCTGGTTCTTCAATTTAACAGTGCCCTCTTCTGGTTCCATGATTCACATTCGGCTAATTCATCACTGTTGGGGTGGGGGGGGGGGGGGAGAAAAAGCTTAACATGGAAAACATGATGGGGAAAATTATTTTGAAACTTAAAAGTAAAAGGCCTTCCTTTTCCATCTTGCTATGACAAAATAAATGAGCAAAAATCCAGTTGGGAGTATAATGGTAGTTGCGAAGTGCTGGGGAGAGTGAAAAATGGAAAGCTATGTTCAATGGGTGTGAAAATTTTCTGGAGATTGTACAACATTGGGAATATACTTAACACTACTAATCGGTATACTTAAAACGGTTAAGGCGTTACGTTTTGTTATATGTATTTCACCACAACTAAAAATAAACAAATCCCATTGAAACAGAAAGAGGGCAGGTTGATGGCAGCCTCTCTAAGTTGAGGTTGTTTTCACCTCCAGCCAAATGTTTATAATAAACCAAAGCCAGCTGGATTTTATATAATTGTAAATTCCTGTAATTTCACTAAAATGGGCACATATTTCTCTTAATTTACGAAAACTATAGCTATAAAACAACTTCATTTCCACTTTTACTCTTAAAGTCTTTAGTCTCGAAAATTTGGAGACCCATGTTAAAAAGATTGGGAAAATGTCACTTCACTTACCTTGGGAAATAAATAACACATTCTTCAATATAAAAAAAAAAGACTCAAAGTTTGGCTTCTACTGGGGTCAAAGGCATGACATCACTGAGATAAATAAACACTAGAAACACTAGAAAGGGCAAGTGGGGTGCTACTGGCCTGGGTTGGGATACTGTTAAACATCCTACAATGCGCAGGACAGCCTCTCTCCACCTCTCCAAGAAGGATCTGTCCTCAAATATCAATAGTATCAAGTGTGAGAAACCCTGGGTTAGAGTTCTTTCCTCTGACTTTGGCCATTTTTCTTAGCCTTTGTAGCAAGCAGCCTTCTCTTCTTCTGTCTCTAATTACTCACTATTCTGTCTTAGCTCACTTCTCTTTTCTCTATATTTTCTCTTGGGGATATCATCCCTTCTCACGATTTCAACTACCACATCCATGTTACTGATCCCCACATCTATATATCTAGTCCCAACCCCTCCTCTAGCTCTAGAACTTTTTCTCTTGATTCCCCTTCACATATTTCTCTTAACCTATTGGTAGAAAACTGTAAGGTCATTTATGTTCCCAACACTTCCCAAGCATCTAATTTGCATTAAAGGCTGTGCTGGTATTTGGAGGAAGGCAGTGACGGTGGAGAGGAGAGGCAATCATGGTTAATAGCGCTTTAATTGTATTATATCTGATGATGGCACTAGTTCTGCAAGAAAAAAAGCATTATCTCCTGGAAAGTAACGCTCCAAGTGTTTAATCAACTACTTAAATATGGCAAAGTTTGGTTTTAGCAGAATGTTTAAAGTGCCGTTATATTTTGATATTAAGGATTGAACTATTTCCTTTTTTTTAAAATGAGGACAGTGCTGTAAATGTGTGGTCCAGTTCGCCCGTAGCCAAAGGGGGATGGGTGTGAATGTCAAAGTAATGTCTAGTAGCCTCATCTTCTAAGCCAATTTGCACCCCCTTCTGGTTGCTACCGTATATCATAGAATATAAAACTTGCGATAAGATGAATCATTATTTTCCACAACTGTAGGGGAAAAAAATAAACATTGCCAATTAAAGTATGGCATGCCATCAATTGTCCAAGATGTCCTAGATCAGCGGTTCTCAACCTGTGGGCCACAACCCCTTTGGGGGTCGAAGGACCCTTTCACAGGGGTCGCCTAAGACCATCGGAAAACACATATATAATTACATATTGTTTTTGTGATTAATCACTATGCTTTAATTATGTTCAATGTGTAACAATGAAAATACATCCTGCATATCAGATATTTACATTACGATTCATAACAGTAGCAACATTACAGTTATGAAGTAGCCACGAAAATAATTTTATGGTTGGGGGTCACCACAACATGAGGAACTGTATTAAAGGGTCGCAGCATTAGGAAGGTTGAGAACCACTGAGCTAGATGCTGAAACATTTTTTGAAAGGTAAGCCTTCTGAGGTTTCTAATTTGCTAAAATATGAACAAAAAAGTGATGTTAGATTCTATGACATACGGTGAATTTATTTCCCACATCAATTTCCAAGGTCAGTTCCCGTGTCCTATTTTGCACTTTCGTAAACTATCACGGGTGTATATCATTTTTGAAAGAGTCTCGTCTGCAACTCCATCCTAAAGCCCTTAGCTCTTCAATAATTTCTTTGTTCGCCCAACCCGCCCCTCCCACTTCGCGCCGGTCACTAATCGATGTAGAGTTTACGATTTAGGAGTGAACCTCAATTTCTTCTCATCATAAAATTGCATAGATTCCATCCGACTGTCCACAGCATCCGCTACATTAAGGGGGAGAGGATGGAAAACATTGTATTACATAAACGTATGTTTTTCAAAGACCCATCCTCGTAGAGATGTTAAAATGGGGTAGGGTAGGGAGCCCGGTGGAGGCGGAGAGGGGATATACGTCTCGGGATACAGGAAATACGGTAGGAGTGGAACCCGGAGGAAGCTCTTGGTCTGGAGGGGAGGGGACCCGCCGCCATCTCAGGTCTCCGCCTGGCTGGGGCCCACCGGAGAGAGCTGACGCCCGGGTCCTAGAATCCTTATGGGGGACCAACCTTGTCCCTCCGGGAGAGCCACGCTCCCATCTGCCAACACGCGGGAAAGCAAGCCTCCGAGAAAGCGCTGCCTCTTAGCTCCACGGTGGGATTATCCAGAAGGGACCCCAAACAGAGGTACCCCTCTCCCCTCCGCACCTCCTCCGGCATCTCCCGGCCTGAAGTCGCATCCTCTTCCTCCGGAGAAGTCGTAGAATAGACTTCTCCCACCCTAAGCCAGGTCAGATTCTTTCTCATCTGGGACATTCTGCCTCTCAGAAACTTAATTATGCGTTTCCCAGCTCGCCTTCCCGTCCCCCCCACCCACCAGCCCCCCAACCCCCCGCCCTCCGTTCTCTCCACGATTTAAAAATTGAAGAAAGCATAGGCAGACGTTAAATAGCTCTGTCATAAAATATGCTTGGATGAAATTTTGGATGTTTAATGACATTCAGTAATTATTTTTAATATACAGGTTCCCCCCCCCCAAAAAAAAATGTAGACATACTTCAACAGCTGATAGCTCAGTTTTGAAAAGGAAATGTATTTTCATAAACACTGCCTTTATAATTATTCAAAGTGTGTGTATACATTTGGAAGGGGGGGACACCCTATAGCAGTTGTGATAATTGTGGGTTACATTTTTTTAAGAAATAGACTTGAATGTTTTTATATACTCAAAGTAATTTAGTGGGGTCCAGGTGGGGGGTACGAACTAAAGGTTCGTCAGTTGATAATTGTTAAAGCTAGGCGATGCATTATGGTGATTCATTATAATGTTCTCACTACTTTTGTGTACATTTGAAACTTTTCCATTTGAAAATGCTTAGCTCTAGATTAATAACAACAATGTATGCAAGGCCTAATTGTGATGCCTAGCACTGTGCTAATAGAGGGGTTTATAAGGTGAGCTACATAAGTGTGTGTTTACCTGTGTATGGTGGGGGAACTTAATAAGTAAAAGCAGTGACAATATGGTCAGTCAAACCCAAGTGCCATAATGTTTACTTGTTCAGTGTATTCAGGAAGCATCCTAGGATGGACCAACTCGTTCTACCTGATAGTAATCATGAACTTTCAGGGAGGAAAGGGAAATGTGGGTGAGTCTTAAAGAGCGAGTGACATCTGCCCTGCGGAGGTGGAGAGACTGTTTTTCAGGACTTTTGTTTCTAGAACAAAAACCCCCAAGACAGGTTTGTTCTGGGGAAAGCTTGGCTTGAACTCTGAAACTTGTGAGACCTTAGGAGGGGAGATACAATGTTGTAGGGCCTTGAATGTTATACTAAACTTGAATATGCAGTTTAAGCCATGAGCATTGACCACCATGGAAGATTTTCAAGCAAGTGATGTATTTTAGGAGCCCAGTTTTTAACATCAGAGAAACCATCTTCTATTTACATCAGCTTATAGAAAGCAAAAACTAAAACCAAATCTGATCTGAGCCTCACAGTTCCTAGTAATCTAAAGGGGACAGGCCATCCTTTCTTCACTTCTGCAATAAACCTCTCTATGAAGCCCTTACAATGGACTAGGCATTGTGCTGGCAGCTGGAAGGGATGTGTGACCAAGGAATAGTGCCTGGTACATAGTAGGAGTGAAACAGATATTTGAATAAATAAGTCAATGAATGATAAGAAAACAGTAGCAACTAAGAGGGTTCTGGATTTAGGGTTTGGTGGTAGTCCATAGAAAAGGAATGAGCTCTATTTTACCTGAAAGCATCGCCTGGCCATTCCTTACAGCCTCACTTCCCTCAACTTTAGCTCCGTGTCCAAACCAGTAGTGGCAGTGGGTGGGAGAGCAGAGGGAGAGCAGTGCTTAGATACGGCAAGAAGTGCCAGAGCTACATAATTCCTTCCAGTGACTCAAATCATCGAAAATTATCATACTAGTAAATATTTACTGAACATCTTTATGTGCCAAATACTGTTCTAAAGGGCTTCCATAGTCTATGCTTATTATTATGCTTATTATTAATATTGTTAATTATTATTATTGCTATGCAACAAACTTTTCTAATACTATCTATGTAACTGTTTTACAGGACTAGCTAATGGAAATGTGGGCATGGTGGAGCATAAGAACTTGAGGAGGCCAGGGGAAAGATAAACAGCAACAGAAAAAATGATTTAACCTTATTTTACTATTTTTCAGTTTTGGAGGGATCGCAGTAGGACTCCATTTCCATGCTGCGCTCATAAAATAGTTTATCCAATGGCGACAATGAGGGTTGTTGACAATGCTACCCTGATTTTTCTGTTCTTCTGCACTGGAATGGAAAGTGGTGATTTTTTTAAGGTAATGTCTTTGCCAAGAACTCATTAAAGGGGGAATAAAAATACATTTATCATAACACTACACTTGATCATGACATTACAAATGACTAGCCAAACAAAAACCAAAAAGTTATCACCAAATGATAACATTGAAACCACTTTCTACACTATATGAAAAAATATATATACCACAGAATAATGTAATCTATAAGCTGTTTTGTTAGATTAACTCCTCATTACCTTATCGTTTCGGATTGTTACTGTGAAATGTATCTTTTAAACCACTTTAGCTGATTATTTCTGGTAAATGGGAATAGGATTGATATATTTACATATATTTACATACTGATTTAATATGCTGCAACTCTTCTGAATTCTATTTATTCTAATAATTTGTGGATTCTGTTATTAATTATATTGGGAATAATGGCAGTTTCTTTCCAATTTTTTTAGCTTTTCCAATATTTTTAGCTAGCAATTTTTAAGGTTGTTTTACTCTAGGATCTTCAGTACAACAAAATATAGTAAAAGTGATAGAGAATTTCCTTGTCTTCCTACTGAATTTACAAGGGAATTCTGCAAATGTTTCATTATTTTTAGTAGATTTTCCTTTCAGCTCAAGAAAGTTCTTTTCTATTCTTAAATTGCTGAAAGTTTTTATTATGAATGACTATGGAGTTTTTCTCCAGGTACTTTGTATTTATTGCCATGATCATATGGGTTATTTCTCCACTAATATGATAGCGGGACTGTGTGATAAATTAAGATAATCAATTTCTAATACATTTCCTGCTTTTGATTTCATCAGGTCTCACCATTGAATAATTTGTTTTTCTATTTTAGAAATTTTTGCTTTTATCATTTTCCTTTACTTTCTGTTTGCTTTTTTCTATTTATTTATTTGGACCGCTAGCTCACTAATTTTCACTTTTCTAAAATAATTTGTGACTATAAATTTTTAACTATCACTTTAGAAGAATTTCACAGGTTTTTATATGTAGTGATTTATCATTCAGTTTTTCTTAATTTCACTTATTTCTTTTTGCTCATGAGGAATTTTTTAAATCTACAAACACGTGTCTCTTTTTAAAAATCATACTGTGAAATCATTCATTCAATTACAGATGAACTTATTTTCTGCTCTAAAGTGTTTCATGTTTTTATCCTGCTAACAAAAAACAGAATTACATACTGGCTCCTCATCCCACAGATTTTGACAATATAAAACTTTTTCTTTCATTAAATACATGGAGCAGTGTGATTATACTATTCGGTGATGGAATTATTGCTGACATTATGCTTGTGTTTTTTTAAACTTTTAAAATCTTGATCTAATTCTACGCTTAAAGAAAATGTGTGAGAATATTACAACAAACTCGCATATACCGTTTATCAGGATTTACCAATGAACACATTGCCATGTTTGCTTTATCATTCTCTATGTCATTCTCTATTTCTATATCATTCTTTATCATTTTCTATCATTCTGCTCCCCCCTCTTCTTCCCTTTTTTCCTCTCCTCCTCCCCCACTCATTCCCCTTTCCTCCTCCTCTTCCTCTTCCTCTCACCTCCTCCCTCTCCCTTTTTCTCTGTCTGAACTGTTTGAGAGTATATTGCAGGCAACACGTTTTATCTGTAAATACTTCAGTGTATATATCATCAGAGCCACGTCTTTCTCTTAATGACCTCAATACATGTGACAAGGTAAAAATTTGACATTGTTCCATAAACTTTTATTGTCAAAATTATACATTCATACTTACTGAAAAAGGGATGAGTTTGGAAAAACATATATTTATTTGTTTAAAAAACATCTTAACAGTTTTATTTCAGTATAGTTAACATTCAATAAACTGTACATGTTTAAAATGTACAATTTGAGTGTTTTATCATATCTATGGGACCGTAACCATAGTCAAGATAGTACGGCACATTTTCTTGGGGTTTCTTTTTATTTTGTTTTGTGGTGTGTTTTTTTTAATTTATTTTTAGAGAGAGAGGAAGGGAGAAGGAGAGAAAGATAGGAACATTGATGAGAGACAAACATCGATTGGCTGCCTCCTGCACGCCCCCCACTGGTCATCAAACCTGCAACCCAGGTACATGGGTGCCCTTGACTGGGAATTGAACCCATGGCCCTTAGGTACTCAGGCCAACACTCTAACCACTGAATATACTGGCCAGGGTTTGTTGTTGTGTTTTTATTCTTTGCTTTTTTTCAGTTGTTATCAACAGCTAGCTATTCTTCCTTTTTTTTATATATGTCTTTTTTTATAATTTTTTTATTGTCTAAAGTTTTACATATGTCTCCTTTTCCCCCAATTGAAACCCCCCCCCCAGCCATTACCACCCCGGGCAAGCCCCCACCACCCCAGTGTCTGTGTCCATTGGATATGCTAATATGCACGCATACAAGTCCTTTGGTTGCTCTCTAAATCCCCCTCCCCTGCCATTTGTCTCTGGATCTATTCTTGTTCATCAGTTTATGTTGATCATTATATCCCACATATGAGTGAGATCCTGTGATATTTATCTTTCTCCGATTGGCTTATTTTCCTCAGCATAATGCTCTCCAGTTCCATCCATGCTGTTGCAAATGGTAAAAGCTCCTTTTTTACAGCAGCGTAGTATTCCATTATGTAGATGTACCACAGTTCTTTAATCCACTCATCTGCTGATGGGCACTTAGGCTGTTTCCAACTATTAGCTATTGTAAATTGTGCTGTTATGAACATAGGGGTGCATATATCCTTTCTGATTGGTGTTTCTGGTTTCTTGGGATATATTCCTAGAAGTGGGATTACTGGGTCAAATGTGAGTTCCATTTTTAACATTTTGGGGAAACTCCATACTGTCTTCCACAGTGGATGCACCAGTCTGCATTCCCACCAGCAGTGCATGAGGGCTCCTTTTTCTCCACATCCTCGCCAGGACTTGTCATTTGTTCATTTGTTGATGACAGCCATTCTGACAGGGGTGAGATGGTACCGCATTGTCATTTTGATTTGCATCTCTCGGATGACTAGTGACTTTGAGCATGTTTTCTTATGTCTCTGGGCCTTCTGTATGTCCTCTTTCAAAAAGTGTCTATTTAGGTCCTTTGCCCATTTTTTGATTGGATCGTTTATCTTCCTTTTGTTAAGTTGTATGAGTTCTCTGTAAATTTTGGAGATTAAACAGTTATCTGAAATATCATTGGCAAATATTTTCTCCCATGCAGTGGGCTTTCTTGTTGTTTTGTTGAAGGTTTATTTTGCTGTGCAGATGCTTTTTATTTTGATGTAGTCCCATTTATTTATTTTCTTTAGTCTCCATTGCCCTAGGAGCTGTGTCTGTAAAGATACTGCTATGACATGTCTGCTATTTTACTGCCTATTGAGTCTTGTAGGATTTTTATGGTTCCCCGTCTTACCTTTAAGTCCTTTAGCCATTTTGAGTTTGTTTTTGTGTATGGTGTAAGTTGGTGATCTAGTTTCATTTTTTTTTTTTGCATGTATCTGACCAAATTCCCAGCACCATTTATTGAAGAGACTGTCTTGATTTCTTGCCTCCTTTGTCAAATATTAATTGAGCATATGGCTTGGGTTGATTTCTGGGTTCTCTGTTCTGTTCCATTGGTCTATATGTCTGTTCTTGTGCCAGTACCATGCAGTTTTGAGAACCGTGACTTGGTAATGTAGCTTGATATCTGGTATTGGGATCCCTTCAACTTTGTTCTTCCTTCTCAGGATTGCTGTGGCTATTCGGGGTCTTTTTTATTCAAGATGAATTTTTGGAGAGTTTGTTCTTGATCTGTGAAATATGCCATTGGTATTTTTTAAAATATATTTTATTGATTTTTACAGAGGAAGGGAGAGGAATAGAGAGTTAGAAACATCGATGAGAGAGAAACATCGATCAGCTGCCTCCTGCACACCCCTACTGGGGATGTGCCAGTAACCAAGGTACATGCCCTTGACCGGAATCGAACCTGGGACCCTTGAGTCTGCAGGCCAATGCTCTATCCACTGAGCCAAACCGGTTAGAGCTGGGGTATTAATTTCTTATCAGATATGTGCTTTGCAATTATTTTCTCTCATTACACAGGTTTTCTTTATACTCTGTTGATCATTTCTTTTGCTGTGTAGAAGCCTTTTAGTTTGATGTAGCCTACTTGTTTATTCTTTCCTTTTTCTTGTAGTGTCATATCCATAAAATCATTGCCAAGACCAAGCTTTTTCACTATATATTTTTCTAAGACTTTTATGGTTTCAGGTCTTACCTTAAGTCTTCAATCCATTTTGAATTGATTTATTTTTGCGAGTGGTGTAAGATAGGGCTCCAGTTTTATTCTTTTTCATGTGAATATCCATTTTCCAGCATCATTTATTGAATATCTTCATTGAGTACTCTTGGCTTCCTTGTCAAATATTAGGTGATCATGTATGTGGGGGTTTATTTCTGGGCTCTCGATTCTTTTCTGTTGGTTTAACTGTCTTTTTATATGCCAGTACCATACTGCTCTTTTTATAAATTTTTATTAAAGTTTAGTAGCCATGCAATATTATATTAGTGTACAATATAATGATTCGACATGCATATACCTTACAATGTGATCAGCACACTAAGTCTAGTAGCCATCTGTCACCATACAAAGTTATTACAGTAGTGACTATATCCCCTGTGCTGTACACTATATCCCTGTGGCTTATTTATTTTATAGCTGGGATTTTGTCCCTCTTACTCATCTTAACATTTTTTACCCATCCCCTATACATCCACCCTTCTAGCAGTCATTAGTTTATTCTTTGTATCTATGAATCTGTTTTCGTTTTGATTTTTAGATTACACATATAAGTGAAATAATAAGGTACTTAGATGTCTTTCTCTGACTTATTTCACTTAGCATATCACTCTTTCAGTGGTTCTCAACCTTCTGGCCCTCATGTTGTGACCCAACCATAAAATTATTTTTGTTGCTACTTCATAACTGTAATGTTGCTACTGTTATAAATCGTAATGTAAATATCTGATATGCAGGATGGTCTTAGGCGACCCCTGTGAAAGGGTCGTTCGACCGCCAAAGGGGTCGCGACCCACAGGTTGAGAACCCCTGCTCTAGATCCATTCATGTTGTAGCAAATGGTAAGATTTCATTCTTTTTCTGACTGAGTAATATCCAGTCATATATATATCAAATCTTCTTCACACACACACCAAATTTTCTTTATCCATTCATCTAACAATGCACACCCAGGTTTTGCTTTCATATCTTGGATATCTACACTAATAAAAGAGAAACATGGTAATTAGCGTATGACCGCTACCCTTTTCATTGGCTAATTAGCGAGATATGCAAATTAATCACCAGCCAAGATGGCGGTTAACTGCCAACAGAGATGGCGGTTAATTTGCATATGTAGGCACAATGCAGGGAGGCAAAAGGGAAAGCACGGAAGAAGCCCCCTGGCACTGACAGTGATCGGAAACCCAGGGGGAGCTAAGAGCGGGGGGCAGGGCAAAGGCGGCCCCCAGGCAACCTTTGCCTGCCCCCGCCGAAGTATAAGAAAATCCCGCCCCTTTTCCGCATGGGCCCGGTGAAGGCGGAAAGAAGGGTGGGAGGCGGCGATGGGGAGCTGGGAGGGGGCGGGACCCAAGTGCGGGGGGGGGTTGCGGGGGGGGGGCCCCGGGCGGGGCCGTGGGCGGGGGGGGGGGGGCCCAGTAGCGGGGGGTGTCGAGTGGGGAGGGGGGCTGCGGTGGGGGCCCCCGGGCCGGG